ATTGTATTGTATTGTATTGTATTGTATTGTATTGTATTGTATTGTATTGTATTGTATTGTATTGTATTGTATTGTATTGTATTGTATTGTATGCACGCGTATAGAGTAAACGTTCGCTCAGAGAGTAAATCATAATATCACAGACAATATTAACACACGTTTTAAATGATAAAATGTTATTGGTCTTCAAGAAGATTTATTGAGTCTGAATAAGAGGTGAGGTGGCAGTATCATTAAAAAAAATTCATTACTAAAATACAATCTCAAATAACGATTATATACAAATATAATACTTGGTAGGTTTATGTAATAATGACTATGCGGTGAAACTAGGCAATTTGAATTAGTTAGACGTAGACGATTTCATATACTCAATATAAAATTATCTTAACACATAGCTCTCTGCTATTATAGTACTATGATTATTAGTTACAATAATATATGCTTAATTTATACCAAAAAATACGGGTAAATGAATATTAGATGAACTGTAACTTGAATGTGTAAAAAATTAAAAAACCTCGACGACGCTGCTGCTGATAGAAACTAAACACACGTATATGTGTGCGCGCTGCATCTTTTGGCAAAAAATTAATCCCTGGAATTCCTGTCCCCCCCCCCCCCATAATCACTGGAACTAAGATGTTTATATGCTAATAATACAATGGTAATACTGAAACAGATTATAGACGTTTAGAGTAATTCCTCGATATTTTTTATATCCACGTGCGGGTCGAGAGACATTTCTCGTGTCAGCGTATTCGCTAGCTGCGTGTAACCCGTGAACGAGCCTAACAAACCCTCGACTTTTCCACGCATCTTCGTGAACGTTAGTCTCTTCTCTGGTTTATGCACCCAACATCCCCGCATGAGGGCGTATAGGTCGTCGGTACATCCGAGCGGTTTCTCCATAAGTTGTCCACTGTTTATAGCTTCTATAGCTTCTGCCGCCGTCTGACACTCCGGATATGGTGTTGCACCGAGTGTGAGCAACTCCCACAGAAGCACACCGTACGACCACACGTCGCCCTCTACCGTGTAAGTGTTAAACTGCAGTGACTCCGGTGCCATCCAGCGTACAGGAATTCTGATTCCCGACTTCTTCACCTTCTTACGATACTCGATAACTTCACGCGCCGAGCCGAAATTTGTGAGTTTACACGTCATTCAGCGTACAGGAATTCTGATTCCCGACTTCTTCACCTTCTTACGATACTCGATAACTTCACGCGCCGAGCCGAAATTTGTGAGTTTACACGTCATATTAGCGTTAACAAGAACGCTACGCGCAGAGAGATCTCTGTTCAGGTATTTGAAACTCGCTAAATGCTCACACCCCTTAGCGATATCGAAGGCAAACGCCATTACCTGTTGCATGGTGATCCCTGTCATATTTAGGTAAGTGTCCTCGATATCAGATGATATTTGCAATAGCGATTTTAGGTCTCCGTGTTCCATATATTCCGTGATCAATAGCGGCCCTCTGGTGGGATCGTCGGCGTACGCGAGTAAAGTCATAATGTTGTCGTGTGGCGGAACTTCCTGAAGAATGCGTATTTCCTGCTCGACCTGATTTCTCACGCGCTGATCAAACTCACCCGTCAGTTTATTCCTCGCTACGCATTTAACTGCCACCAGTGTGCGTTCGCCCCTGCCATGGAGGTCGTGTACTGTTGCTTTGTGCACCTCACTGGTCGATCCTTCGCATATTCTTTCGATTAGTAGCACTTGCATGCTATCGATCGCTTGGTGGGGTCGCCGCGGCAAGGGAGGCGGATGGTTCTCTACGACAATCGTGACCGGAGATGTTTGTGCGGGACCGATTGTCGAATAGTACGGCAAATCGCACGTGATCTCCGTGCGGATGTTTTGGTTCATGGCAATGGAGCCTGAGAACGGCGCGACATCTGGCGGTGCAGTAGGCTGCTTGGTCGCTGCTCGAGGTTGGTAGACAACTATCTCTTGCCCAGATTCGTTGCCTCTGCTGCCGCAGCATGCAACCTTACAGCATAACGCAGAACACCATATCGCAACGATCATTTCAGCTAAGCCGAAGAGTAACGTAGCGGTTGTTAAATTTCTCACCTTGCCGTGGTCTGCTTCACACTGTGAATATGCGGGATTGCGAATAACAGTCCTGCTGGGAGTCCGCGGCGTGTTTGCGCCATAATCGTAATCATATCTGTCGTTTGGCGACTCTTCGACATAGCTTATCGTTGGGTCTATGCCGTAACATCTCCTCCCTATTACTCCAATGTTTATGCCTGATATGATAATGAGAATAGCGGCAAAGCATGCAGCGATGATGCTGAGAACCATGAATGAAATCACGCGGCATTTCGTTTCATTCCTCGCTGTTATAACACCGATAAGACCTGCCACGACGAAGAACAGTCCGCACCACACTCCGGTCCCCAGCGGGGCATAATCGAAATAATAGGAAGAATGTGCGAACGTCGAGAGAGCTACGGCATCCGTTATAATCGCCAATAGTCCAAGAACTAGCTGGACCACTGCTAGCGCCAGTGTTCCGCGTCCCATGCGTCGTACTTGTGGAGGGGTTCGTGTTGAGGGGTGCATAGCGTTGCGTACCTCAACAGGTAATTCATTTTTTGTATTTAGATGGAGCATCCTTGACTCTGGTGCCGTCATATCTGTAAAACGCTGGAAAGTATCGGTTCATATCATAATAAATGAATCGAATTTGAACGAATAGTAAGTTAATTAATCGTTCTTCGGTATTTAGTCAATGTTATATAATTTAGAGTATGCTTAGGTAATACCATTGTACCCCAATGTAACATTTAAACACACCGCTCCTCTCTACTCGTTCCTGTAGCTACACGATAAATTAAATCATCAGCTGTAATCCTACCAGATAAATAATATGCACATAAACCCTGCGAACATTTCGTTAGTTCTTTTTGACATTTAAAGGTATCGCGTGACAAAAGTTTCACTTCTCTCAAATTATTTCAACTATTATAGTTTTTGACACTAAATAATAGCGTGAGTCGTAGACAATCGAAAGATACTATTTTTAAGAATGACAACGCCGCCAACAGGCGTAATTAAACGAATGTCTTTTTAGAACAAGATTTGTCATAAAAAGTTATGCTTGCGGGTAAGGGCCCTTCGACCACGGACTAGCTCAGTAGCTATATTAGCATAATCTAGGAAAGGAAAGGATGGACGCGCATACGCAGGTAAGAACACATTCTCACGCACACACAACCTCAGGCACGCACGTATGAATATGCGCACCCGATCGCACATGCGCGTATGTATATACATGAATATCTATGCATATAGCCACCTACTTACATATTCGTGTTTACTCACGTGCACACGACAGTAACAGCGGTTTTGTTATCCACAGCGACCTACGGCTACTTTTATTTGAAGGCACTTGCTTCTTCGTCTTAACTCACTACTACAAGACTGCCTCAGAATGTGCCTCTGTATAAGCAGTTAACCACTGACGTTTTTCCGGTCTTAGCAACAATTTCGGCATCCTGTCCATCTACATTGACACGTAGGGCCTATATACGTCACAATATCGGATGAAGTAGCTTCGAATAGGCCGCGCGTCAGTTTCCTCTGGTCGCGGTTTCTGTCGCCCACGATCGAGGTCACAAATGACTGAGATGACCTACATGATGCTTCTCTAGCGGGTAGGAGCCAGCCAGCGGCTATAGCAGCTCGCGTGTGTAGGTTGCCTACACGCACCGTATTATAAGAAATGTAGCTGTACGCTTATTAAGTGTAGAACTATAACTTCAATGTTCTGCGAGACAGGAAAGATAATACTGCAATTATCTTCGACTGTGAAAGGACCGTAAAGGCTAGTCTCATTGTGTTCCTGATATCACAGCCTAGACAACCAGTAAATGTCCAAGTAATGCGCGTCTGGCCCGTCATGTTGCCGTTATAACGTGACCAGGTTTTGAAAATTGTGTGCACACCCCACTGAAAATAGTTTTGATTAGTTTATGCGCGAACTATTAATACGATAATAGCGCGAATTTCTTTTCTTTTTTATCGCTTCGCACCCATACATGATAGAATAGCAGGAGACATCATCGTATTGTATTGTATTATTTTGTATTGTATTGCATTGCATTACATTGCATTACATTGTATTGTATTGT